CCATTGTCCTACGGGGTGCGCCAAGCAGCCCTTGGCTTCGTAATATGCAGAGCAGTGGGGTACACAATTTGAAGTCTTTACAAAAGATTTATCGTCTGTCCTTGGCAGAGAGGAGACTACTTTGGTTATTAGAATGATCAGAAATGGAGCGCTTGTGTAAGTGTATCATCGCAGCAGGCGCTGCGCCTGTGGGGCCCCGCACAGCCACGTGATGGAACCTGATTTCATTTGGCTGATTTAATTTGGATTTATGGCAGCATTCATGCCATGCTAATATGATCTCCTCCAGCCCAGGTTCCAGGCATTTGAAGACATTGCCTCCTAAGACCCTGTGTAAGAAACTGAAATATCCACCAGTGTTTAACTTATGATGGGAACTTTCCATACTTCAATATTTTACCAACTTATAAGGCTCCTTTGGAAATCTTAATGATATGTAGCTGTCACCTTAAGTGTGGTACTTTGGCTTTCTGCATGAATAATCCTTATTATTTTTTTCCCCCTGTAAAACTGCCAGGGAGGAGCGCCTACTGTGAGAAGAGTGTGGGAGGAGCCACTAGAGGGCGCTCAGTCTCCACCTTTTTCTTTTGGTTGTTGTTGCTAGGGATTTCCTTGACCCATATTTTGCTTTTGAACATTCTGGCAGTGCCAGAATTTTAAGTTGTTTGCTTAGTAGATCTGAAAACATCTCTGTATCAGGGGTCACTGTGAACATGCATCTGTGGTGTCTCCTGGGATCTGTGTCGGGTTAGCTTCCTGCCATGATCTGGCTGGACCTTTGGCTTGTCTAGAACATTCTGTCTGTCAGACAGTGTCCTGGCCATGCATCAGGATACATTCAGTCACCCACCATCAGGGAGACTGGAAAGCTATCCAGTGGCTTTTTGGTCACCTTTGGGACAGGAATGGAAGCTCACTATGCAGACGGTGAGGCCCATTCTGGTGACAGGGTGGTTTGAGGCATGGGCTGGGTGAGGTGGGTGACCTTGAAGGTGGTGAAGATTCTGGGAAGGTCATGGAAGCTCCCACTCTACAGGGGTCCGACCGGCCAAAACAAGCTGCTGCTGCCCTGTGGCGGCCCCTGGTCTGAGTCCATTGTCCCACTGGTGTCTCCAGGCTCTCTCTTTACCTCTTCCCAGCTTTTGTTCCTTTTCCTATTTGTATGATCAAAATCTTGGGAAGAATGACTTTGGCCCACAAATAGGAATAAAAGCCTCTCAGATGGGTTTGCTTTTCTGAATCCAGTGTCTAGCATGCCATTCAATACAGATTCATCCTTTTATTTTCTCAGGGAGGTGGCAGGAAGATACTTTTGGCCATCTTTCTTTAGATCCAGTGACCGTACCCTTTGGTGGTGGCAATGGCTCCTTCCTCCTCTCCCTGTCTATGACGTGGTCACACTGCTCCTTTGCCTGGCCCTAGGCCCAGGGCCTTTTCCTGCCTTCCCAGAGCTGCTGCTAGTTGCTAGGCAACAGTCTCCTTCTCCTGCCCTCCCTTCTCGCTCTTCCTCCAGGGCTTTGGCGCTCCCATCAGATAGCTGACCATGGGGTGGTCATTCATTGAGCCCAGCACCTGCCTCCTGGTTCTATGTCCCTCTGTAGTGGGCATCTCAGGAGGGCAGTGTGCATTCAGTGATGAAGGGTTTTAATGCTGCCTCCTGTGCAGGGCACCTCTTGCTGGATTGTTGCTCGGTGCTCTGGGGACCCTGTTCATGTGTCCTCAGGATCCAGGTTGTTATGGGGGGGTCCTCGGCACTGTCCCACCTGGGATGAGGCCTGGCAGAACCCCTTCCCTGTCCCCTCTCAGTGGTGTACTGGCATTTGTATCTTCTGTGGCCCTGGCTGAGTGCAGGTATGTGGTAAAGTGTCAGCAGTGTGGATCATTAGGAAGTTGGGACGGGGAAGGCACTATCCTTTGCCTTCCTCCTTTCCATGTTCCCTTCTTATGGCAACAGACATCGCACTGATAGACAGGCAGAGCTTCTGGGACCAATGGCCGCTCAGGGACTTCCAAGGCAGGTGATGGAGTCTCCAAGCCCCTCTTCTGAAACTCCCCTCCCCCAGCCGTGGAAACCTGACACAGAACTGAGAAGGTTGCTGGGGGACACTGCTGTCCCCTGATGGGGGACCGTGATGGAGCAGCAGAGCCACGAGCTGAGGCGATGAGCCTGCTGGAGAGTGCCACCTCTGCTTTCGGCCCTGTCCAGGGAGGGTGCCAGCTGAGGGGGCTCACGCTGGGGAGAAGCAGCTGTGGTCCACAGCGGTGGCTGTGGAGCTCGATCTTAATCCTGCGCTGATTGGGGTCAGTAGTTCAGCCAGGTGCATCTCCCGGCTCTGCAGGGCCATGGTGACAGACCTGACTGGGACACCAGCGTGACTGTGTGTAGCTAACCCTCTGCAGTGCGAAGATGCGCCGGCCCACAGGTGCCATGCACACCTGGGAGTGCTCTCCTGCACTCTCACTGTACATCTGCTCATTGCCTGGCCTCCCTCCTCCCTCCTGGCACTGCCTGGTGCACAGAATGTGCCACGTTGGCGTAAGTGCACTCTTCTGACGCTTCAGTCTTTCCTGAAGTGTTGTTCATGTGTTTGTGGCCCCGGGGACCAGTGGCTGTGGTGGAAATTGCGTGGGAGAAGCAGGGTGGCTCTTCCCGGGACACTGCTCCCTGAGCACGACGCAGCGCTGTAGGCAGTGAGCACAGTGAGCGGGGACACCGAGTCACGCTGCGCTCCTGCCTGTGTCCTCCATGCAGGCCTCACCGCCTCTCCCCCTGGTTCACAGCAGGTGTCTTTGAAAACGGCCTTTTTAGGCTACATTACTGTAAAAATCACACCCTAAGTCACAATAGGAAGAATTACCAGAAAAACCATACCACACGAAACCCAAATTTGAGACTTGGGGGAGAAGCAGCACGCGGGAAGGTTTAATGGCTTTCGATGGTGTCTCCTGGCCGGCGCGGCACCGTTGTCACTGGGAGGATGTGCGGAGGCCGGGCTCTCAGCGCCAGCTTTACTCTTAGCTCAAGATAATGGAGCCATTTCCTGCAATTTTTCCTAGTTAACCAAAATCAGCCTGCAGAGTTTTCCAAGTCCCAATGTAGGTTGGAACAAAATAGCTTTTCTGTTTCATCTTTAGGCTTCTGTAGATGGAGGAGGCCGTGGGTTGCGTGTGGCCCTTGCATTGTCTAGAAGATCAGTGGGCCTGGGAAGGGCAGGGTGTGGAGGGAGCCGGGCCACAGCGGCCATGTCTGCATTGCCTTCATGAGCTGAGCTCACGAAGCTGAGCTGAGCTCTCCCAGTGCTGTGCTAGCCCCTCCCAAGCAGGGGGCGTATTTCTGGATCCACAGGCTCCTGACAGGTGTCTGAGTTCCTTGGAACCACATTAGTGGGGTGCTCGTGTTAGAAAGAGTGAGCCAGGAGGGGAGCACTTCCCAGGAGGGTGGCGTTGCCCAGGAGGGAGCCGCTTGGTGAGCTGTGCCTGGTGTAAGGGCTGGGCAGGTGGGTTACCGCAGGTGGCCTGGCCTCTCCCCCCATCCTGACCTCATCAATGAGCCCTCCCAGGGCCTCCACTAGACCCTGTCCCTGGGCAAGCCTGTGTCCTCCTTAGCTAGATTCTGGAAGAGGCTGGGGTGGCGTGTGGACACGGGTGGTGCTGGGCTGAGGTGCTTGCTCCTGGATGGGTGGGTGGCCTGGAGTGGCGCGGGAGGTGGTCGGTATAGAACTGGAAGCACAGGGCTGCTGTGCGCTGGGGAGCTCGGGGATGGTTTGCAGACTTGTCATGGCAGATGTGGGCCATGTGGGAACTTGGGCAGCAGAGGCTGTAGGAGAGCCAGGGAGGTGCTGGCGGATGGCCACATGAGAGGGACAGGTGGCCGGATGGAGCCAGGGTGAGGACGCAGGTTCTAGGAGGTTCAGGTTATTCTGGAAGTCCAGTAGGAGGGGGACACTGGGGGATGATGTGCTTTAGAGATGGGCTCCATTGGTGGTGCTGGTGTTTGAACTCCATCTTGAGTTTAATAGGTGCTTATACTTGAGCCGCTCCTCCCAGCCTTTTTTGCTTTATCGTTCAGGTAAGTCCTGGCATTTTTGCCTAAGATGGTATCATCCTACCTATGCCCTTCCTATAGAGACATTCAATACCAGGCTGGCTTTTTGACTGGGATGAGGGTCTGCTAACTTTTTGCCCAGGCTGGATTTGAACCTCCGTCTTCCTAGTCTGATGTGAGGCACCATGTCCCAACTTTTAAGGTCACCCACAGACAGGTCACCCATAGGCAAGTATCCGGGGCTCACCTCACGTGCTGGCCGCGCTGGACAGGAGGTGGTGGCACATGTGGAGGGGCTGAGCTGGCGCCTGGCTGTCGACGACTCACAGGGACAAATCAGTCTTCCTTCCTTCAGCCTCCATGCTGCCACCGTGCAGCCGGTGTGCGCAGCCTGAGGAAGAAGGCTGAGGCGGTGCCAGCTGCCCGTCCAGTGAATAGAAGCACGCTTGGCCTTTCCAAGGCCCCAGTCCTCTCAGCCCCTCCCTCTGGGGACTGGCCTTGATTCTTCTCGACTCTTCCTCAAACACCTGCACCTTGAGTCAGCGGTGCCGAGCACCGCTGCGGCCTCGGTAGTCAGTGTCTGCTCAGAAGTCTCTGTGTTGGCAGCCATGGCACTGCTAAGGCTGGCATACCTCAGAGCCGGTTCTCCCAGGGCAGCGATGGGTGAGGGAGACGGAAGACGGACAGCGTGAGCTCATCAGAGAACTTAGTATCCAGTTGGCATCACATCCCATTTGCCCCTCACGTAGCAAGACTACGTGGTCCAGAAGGAAGGAGGCTGGGCCTGCAGCCTTGCTCACGTCCCTTCTCTGGGCCCATTCTGGGAGGAGCTGTGGGCCGTATCTGAGGAGCCGCAGGCCAGTTGCAGATGGGGTGGAGAAGTGCCTGCACTGGGACTTCCCTGGGGCTCAGCCCGGCCCCGCAGTGTCTGACGGCGCCTTGTGCTTCCCCCCAGGCCCGCCTGCACCAGCACCCCAGGTTCTCGCTGCCACCCAGGACTCGCCTGTGGGACCAGGGGTAAGTCCAGGCCAGGCAGAGCTACCTGAGAGTCCAGAACAAGGGACGGGAACACGCTGGGGCGAGAAAGCCCTGCCTCCGTGCCCCTGGGGCGGAGGCTGCTGGCTGTGCGTGGGGTGCCCCGTGCCACAGACTGATCTGACGTGCTGACTGCCTCACAGCGTGGGGCTGTCAGGGTGGTGGCTTCCTGCCGACTCGTAATGATCTTCCACTTTGCCATCTAAGGCATGTTTCAACACTCAGAAAATACTGTTCTCCCCGGCAATTATGTCAGAGGTGAGACTGCTCAGGAGTGATAGTCTTGCTTTGGTATCCTGAGATACCAAGTTGTGATCTTCCCCTGTTTCCTCTCCCAAAACTGACTGGGCCAGGAAAGGGGGCAGGGGCTCCGGTGCCCGGAGCCCAGGGCAGCAGCTGTCCCTGTGGGATTCCAGGCCACAGCCGACAGACATGAAATCTGTCAGACATCACTCACCTGAGTGCTGGCATTCCCTGCGTGGGGAGAAGGCCCGTTCTAGCATGGCACTTGGCGGTTCCCAGGCTCGGATGCCCCCGTGCCGCCATGCCTCTGATACTGAGTCACCAGGCGTTCACCTCTGGCTCTGGGTGGCTTCAGCCCCACACATGCGTGCACGTGTTTGTCCTGGCAATGTTGCCCGCCCACGCCACTCCAGCAATGGAAATTTTAGGAAAACGGAGACGTTCAATAGCCAGGCTGTCTCCAGCTATGGACATAGCTTAGAAGCTGGGTCCAGGTGAACTGTGTTTGTCCTGGGCCATCTCCTGGCCTCATCCAGAGCATTCCATGTAGTGGGTCCTACAACAGCTGTAAGAGTTCAGGGGACACAGTAGAGATGGCTCAATGACACCTGTGGGGCTGGAGGGAAGCTAAACACTGTAAAGATCTCTCCTGCTCCCTGAAGGTGCCGCTAGGCTGAAGGATACCCCCTTGCTTCCGCACCCCTTCCCTCCCCCCATCTTCATCTGCTGCCTCCATCTCTGGGTCAGCTGGCCTTGCCAGCAGTGAACAGTCCTGGGTGGCATGCACAGGTGACACATGTGTCTCAGGTGGAGCATGGACCCCATGCCTCCCTCCACGCCAGCCTTTATATGGCGGCATTCATTTTCCAAATACAAATGTAAACCTTTATATGGAAGGCTTTCCAGGTGACAGGAATTGCACTTCATTCTGACAGTGGTCCAGCAGCTTGGGTTCCCTTTTCGTCCCTTCTCGCAGGTGAGGAGACAGGCAAAAAGGTCACGTGACGGTCACTTTGTGGCTGAGGACCCATCCTCCACTATCTGTCCTCAGCCTGCATTGGCTACCGTGTGCTCACTGGCTCAGCAGTGGCCCGTGGCAGAGGCCCAGATGCTGGAGTTGGATGCAGTGTCCAGGCTGGGGGATGGAAGTGTAGCCAGGGGTGTTACAACCAGCCCACCCATGTAGCCGAGACTCTTATCTCTGTTCACTTTCACATGGTGTTTTAAAATTCCAATCTGCGATGTGGGAGAGCTCAGAGAATCACACCTGTCTATAACTGGAATCGAGGAACTTTAAGAATGGTTCTGGGTTCTAGAGCAGCCACCGGCCAGGAGACCGCAGACGCCATGTGCTTCTGCCTCAGGATCCCTAGTTGTCCTCCATTCCCTTGAGTTTGTGCTGGTGTGTGCGTGTGTGCGAGCATGTGTGTGTGTGTATATACATAGTTTGTGTGTGCATGCCTCTGTGTGTGTGTGTGTATGTGTGTGTGTGTGTGTGTGTACGTGCACACACAGGCATGCGTTGGGGATGCCCATAGCGTGATGAGTGCCTCGCTTGAACTCTTGTCTTCCAGTTGTCCCTTTCCCAGCTGGCAGCCTCCCCGCAGTCTCCAGCTCCACTTCTCATAGCCAAGGCCCCTCCTCAGCTTCCAGATGGTTCCCAGGTGGTAAGTGCCCTGGCCAACTTCTCATGCCCCCGGTCTGGCCCTTGGTTAGGTGGCAGGGACCTTGGTGGACTGCAATAGGGTGGGGTGGGGCACTGCTCTTTCTGGCTTCAGACAGTAACTACCACTCAGTCTGAGAGACAAGAGTGTGACCTCAGTTCTTGGCCCAGTGCTTGATTTCGGTTTGTCCTCCTCAGACAAGAGTTAAGCCATCATTGGAGCTACATGAAAGGAGGAGCTGGCTGGAGCCATCAATGGAGGCTGAGGCAGGTCTCTGGCCCCAGACTCTCCTTGCTGCTTAAGGAAGCAGCAGAGCCCCGCCCTGCTTCAGGCTGAGCTCAGTTCTGTGTGGGAATTCACATGGAGAGCCAGCCAGCCCACCTGCAGATCACACCTCTGGCCTCAGCTGGATGTGTGCTGAGGAAAACCAGTTCCTTCTTACTGATCTAGGCTACCCTGTTAGAAAACACATGCGCAGCTCGTGTGTTTAGGAAGAGCTTGCCCATCTTATCCTGGCCACTTGGATGTGGTGTGAGCTTACCTCTGGTTATGGGGTTCACACTTTGGAACTGAAACCACAAATGCATGAATCCAGGCTGAGAGAGAATGTTCTGGATCTGTAGACCCTGTTCTTCCTGCAGACCATCTTCTGCCTTGGAGGGGTGAGGAAGGTGGATACAAATGAGAGACTAGAAAATTCATGGATGTGGGGATTGGAATAGCATCCAGGTTTGCCTGTTGGGCTGGGTGCCACAATGTGAGTTCAGAAGGAACTTTCCATAAACACGCTTAGATCCCAATTAACATCTTAGCCACCAGCCTTCACCTGCAGTATCGACCTGTTTATGGAATTGACAACTCCTTATTTATTGCCCTTTGATTCACCAATAAGGATACAATAGGAAATACAGGCTAACTCTGAACTTCAGATAAAATAACAAATAATTTTTCAATGTGTATTGCATGGGAAATACTCATACTAGAACCACTCATTAATAATCTGTAATTAAAATGTAACCAGGCCTATCTTGTCAGCTTCACAGCTTAGTCCCCTCAGATCCCAGCTTTGCTGGGCTCCACGGACACCAACGCTGGAACCCTTGTCTTCACCTAGAGTCCTTACTTTCCCTTTGTCCAGCAGGCATTCCCGTTGGAAGGCGGGATCTCTCACCTGGAGGCTGACCTGAGCCAGACTTCCTTGGTCCTGGAAACCCCCATTGCTGACACCCTGCAGGAGCTGCCCTTTACCCCTTTGCATGCCCCCATTGTGGTGGGGGCTCAGATCAGGAGGTGAGGCGGGGTCTGGGGAGGGGATTGTAGGGTTGAGCAGGTGCCGGGCCATCAAACCTGGCTGACTGGCAGTCTTTGGCAGGGAGGTGTGGACGGGCCAGCCATGTCCCTACCCTTGCCTGGCAGATGGGCTCAGGGGTGTTTGTGTTTCAGCTCTGGAAGCCAGCTCTCGAGAGCCTCCATGGCTCTCCTGCAGTCCTCTGGCTTTCCTGAGATCCTCGATGCCAGCAAGCAGCCTGTTGAAGCCGTCAATCCCGCAGAGCCTGTGAGGTTTCACCCTCAGAAGGAAGAATCGGATCGTCTGCACAGCAACGAGATAGTGCTACAGTTTCTTGCCTTCAGCAGGTAGAGTCTTGATTTCCTCTCTGTCATCTTCTTGCCTGGCTTCCTGTATCGAAGAGCAGCTGTGCTGTAGGTCAGACCTCGAAGAGCTTTCCCTACTCAAGTTTTTCTAGATTGGCAGTGCTGTCTGTTGTTATTGTTGTTTTTTTTAAATGTTTTTTTATTGTAAAAATACTGTACAGAAGGGTTAGTTATATGAGCAAGGTAATGAGTACATTTCCTATCAAGCACTGTTACCTCCTCCTTTGTTTTTCCCCTACCATCCCTTTTCTCCCACCTCTACAACTACATTCCCCCCCCCGCCCCGCCAGCCGCCTATATTGTAAAGTTTGTTTTTCAACATGGTGTCTTGTGCATTTCATTGTTATAGTGCTATTTTAAAAATGAATTTATTATCTTTCAATATTTTTAGTGGAAGGCAGTTGCCAGTGGCTTGTGCCTGTAATCCTAGCTACTTAAGAGGCTGAGATCTGAGGATCGAGCTTCAAAGCCAGCCCAGACAAATCTAGAAGATTCTTATCTCCAATTAAGGTAGAAGTGGAGCACGCTTATGTGGTAGATGATAGTGTTGAGTGAAAAAGCTAAGGGATGGGGTGAGGTTCTGAGTTCAAGCCTCAGTACCAGCAGCCAAAAATTAATAAAATCAAACAAATGTTTCTTTTTACCTTTTTTTTAAACCTTTTTATTATTTTTGTGATGCTGGGGTTGGAGCTCAGCAAATGTTCTTCCACTGAGCTAAATCCTCAACTTCATAAAAAAATACATTTTTTTTTTTTGTCGGTCGTGGGGCCTGAACTCTGGGCCTGGGCGCTGTCCCTCAGCTCTTCAGCTCAAGGCTAGCGCTCTACCACTTGAGCCACAGTGCCACTTCCGGCTTTTTTCTTTTTGCTTATGTGGGGCTGAGGAATCGAACCCAGGGCCTCGAGCATGCAAGGCAAGCGCTCTACCACTGAGCCACCTTCCCAGCCCCCCCCAAAATACATATTTTTAATGGACAAATGTATATATATACTTCTGGAGGCACAGGATGATAATACATATATTCAATGTATAGTGATTGTGGGGCTTGAACTCAGGGCTTGGGTGCTGTCCCTGCGCTCTTCAGCTCAAGGTGAGCACTCTACCGCTTGAGCCACGGCACCACTTCCGGTTTTCTAGTGGTTTTTATTGGAGATAAGAGTCTCATGGACTTTCCTGCCCAGGCTGGCTTTGAACCGAGATCCTCAGATCTCAGCCTCCTGAGTAGCTAGGATGACAGGTGTGAGCCACTGGTGCCCGGCTTATTCATATCCTTATACAGTTGTCGTTTTTTTTCCATATGTGTTAGAAACCTTGGAAATGCCATCTGCTTGGGTTTTATCTTGGCTAGGGCACACAGAGCCATTCTAGGTGCTGGAAACATGCTTTGCCCAGTCTTCTGTCCTTAATTAAAATAGGGACCATGGTTGCCAATACTCAGACATTAGTGTGGCTCTCAGAACAGCCTTTCCAGGGTGGTCATTATGGCTGGTGCAGCTGCAGCCCGCCAGCTGCTGAGCTCACAGGAAGCTGTTCTTACTGGTGACCGTGGCAGCCTGGGAGCCGTGGTGTCTGGAGGTGTCCCTGCAAGTGCCACACCCAGCGCTTCTGTGGACGCATGATTAATTCAGAGCTGTTGTTGAATTCAGAGTGGCCCAGGACTACCGCGGAGCACCATGGCCAAAGACTGTGTATTTCACCTTCCAGTTCTACCGCTTCCCGCCCGAGACAACGCCGCGTCTGCAGCTGGTCCAGCTGGAGGGGGCTGGGAAGACCAACTCTGGCTCCCTGTCCCATATCCTTGTTCCCATTCACAAAGACGGCTCCTTTGACGCTGGTGAGTGCTTGGGTGATGGTGAGTACAGGAACGTCTGTGCTGAGCTGGGTGTGAACGTCACGGTTGACAGGGGTCTGCTGGGAAAGTTGGCCACAGGATAGAGCATGTGTGATCAGTTGGTGCATGGCGCTCAGCTTCAGCACTGGTTGGCAGTGTCTCACCCACCCAGGGCCTCCACTGAACCAGGCTTATTTCTTTTTTTTTTTTTTTTGGGTCCGGTCGTGGGGCCTGAACTCTGGGCCTGGGCGCTGTCCCTCAGCTCTTCAGCTCAAGATTAGCACTCTACCACTTGAGCCACAGTGCCACTTCCGGCTTTTTACTTTTTGCTTATGTGGTGCTGAGGAATCGAACCCAGGACCTCTTGCATGCAAGGCAAGCGCTCTACCACTGAGCCACCTTCCCAGCCCCTGAACCAGGCTTATTTCAAACGAATTCCAGCCAGGGTAATTTCATTTGCACTTTTCCTTCCAGCTCTCTAAAAAACTAGGGAGTCTTTTTTGAAAGGCAAACAGGAATAGGCACCTAGAAATTTTTAACTTAATTCTTAATATTTATCTAGTTAATGTTAAGATTTCTTTAATAACTAACTTCAAAACCTTATTCTTCTTTTTTGTTATTACCTTCAAGTACTTGTACAAAGGGGTCTCACCTCAATAAGTCAGGTTAGGAGTACTTTGCATCTTGATTAGTGTCATTCTTTCCACTGTTCTTCCTCTTCTTTCCCCATCCCACCCCTCCCCTCAAGGGATGTGGTTCCACCGTCACATGTGTGTATTGAATATAATGACCGTATCCATCTGCCCTTCCTCCTTCCATTCTTCTGCCCCCAGCTTCCTAGCTTTTAAAAATAATTTGCTAAAACCTCAGGCCTGCGTATTGCGGTGGGGCAGAGCCTTGTGCCAGCCCCAGCTGTGTGTCACCAGTGGCTCCACCGTCCCTGGTCCCTGTTTTCTCTGTTTGATTGCTTTCGTGGTCCTGTAGTGCACCTGGCTTCTGTTTCTGTTTCTGGTGGTGGAATTAAAGGTCTTCTGTGCCCTCTTTTCCTGGGAGTTGGGAGTTCAACCTGGTCGTGGGACCAGACATACGGTTTTGCTTCTAGCAAGTGTTTTCAGCACCACGAAGTCTGGTGTTTCTTTCCATGGTACATGGTGGCCATCATACCCAGTGTGTGGGCCATGTATTTCACTGGGGTGGGGCACAAGTTTTCCTTTGTAATCCTCTCTGGTCAGCGGCTGCTGCCATAACTAAACTGCCCCTCATCAGCCATGTGGTCACACCGAGGTACAGTTCATATAGGATGGCATGGCTCCCTGGCATCCTCCCAGGGTGGGGGGCTAGCAGCCCTCCCCTGCCTCCTGGTCCATTGTACATGGAGGGATTTAAACTACAGTGGATAGATATATCACTGAAATGTCATTTGCTTATTGATGATGTTTTTTCCTGTCTTTGGTCCTAAGTGACTGGCTGATCCTTTGCTGCCTCCTGAGGCTGACAGCAGCATGAAGGAAAAATTACCTTTACGTTCTGACCCCAAAAGGAAGTAGCCAGGTTACATTAGCATCAGACAAAAAGGAGACCAACGGGCGAGACAGTGCCAGGGATAAAGGAGACTGTTAAATAATAACCCGGAGAATAATTTACTAGGAGGGCAATTCTGAATCCGTGAGCTTCTAACAGGCATAGCCTCAAGACAGAGGTGAAGCTGATGGATGTGTGAAGAGGAACAGGCAAACCCACAGTCCCAGGTGGTGTTGACACAGCTCTGAAGCAAATTAATGAGGCCGTTACAAAGTACAGCTTAAGAAAGATGGATCTTGAGAACTCTATGTCTGATTAGAGAATGTACGTTGTTTTCAAGCAAACCTGGAAATTTATAAAAACTGCTGATACTGGTTAAGGCCACCAAGTGGCTATCACTCCAAATGAAGGAAATCAGTGCCAAATGTAATTTGATAGTATTCTCTGACCATGATGCCCCAGGTCAGAGATTTATCTCTTTCTCACAAACTCTCCGAGCTGCTATTTAAGAAATTTTAAACATACGTCTAATGAATGAAAAGTCAGTGAAGAAATCAAAATAGAAAAGACTATCTAAAGCTGAATGTTAAAATAATATTCCATATTTTATTCCATAAGATAATATACCACAAATAAGGGCTACTTGGAAGAAAACTTGCAAGCTAGATTGCCTGCCAAGGGAGAGGAGGGCCCTTTAAGAAACTTCAAGTTGTTCAATCCAAGAAGTTTAGGGTAGAAAAGAGAATAAAGTCAATACAGGTGTAAGGAAAGACATTTGGAAGTGAATACAGGGAAACAAAGTAGAAAGGATCGGAGGCCAGGCTGGAATGGGGGAATCACCGTGTAACAGGAGATGCTCTCCATATCTTGTCCAAGATCAGAATGAGGCTAGTCAGATGAAGATCAGGATCTAGCTTTCCTTTACCCTATGCTTATTTATAACAGAGCAGTATGGGAACTTGGTTGGTGTGAGGGCTGGCTTCGTTCCCTGCCTTGGATGGATTTTGTCACAGCTTGTGATGTACCACCAGCATCACCTGCTCTAGAAGCAGTTCTTCTTGTGCGAGGTGAGAGGAGAGCAAAGGTTCCCAGCCGCTCAGGCCCTTTCCTCTCCCTCACCCAGTCAGGTAACTGCTCCTGCCCTGAGAGGACCGTGGGCTGGGCCGAGAGGGCCCAGGAGACCCCTGCATGGAGCTGTGAGGCCAGGGAAGGTGTGCTCCAGCTCGTGCTTGGTTCTCACCACTCACTGACCTTAGCCACAAGCCTATAGTACTCTGGGGTGGAATGCCATCCTTGGGGGAGGAGGCCAGTCACCACCAGGATCAATAGTTCTCACCAACCACCTTTCCTTGGTTCCTCTTGGGACCCTTGGCGGGGACCGGGGAGGGTTGTGGTCCAGCTTATGTCCTCAGAAAGCTTGATTGGATGGGAACAATGCACTTGGCTTCTCTGAACTTTCTGCTGGCACCTCATCCACACTCAGGCTCTGTCCTGTCTTTTATCTCTCTTTCTGTGGCTCACTTGGGGATCCAAAAAGAGGCTGCAGAAAGAACCACAGTCCTCAGAACTCAGTCGCCTGAGTAACTAGGATTACGGGTGTGAGCCACCAGCACCCAGCTCGTTGTCACTCCTTTTTGATGTGGTGACTCTGGACAGTGGGACCCTCATGTTCCCTCGTGGGTCGCTTTGAGCTGCCCCGCTGGCCTGGGGCACGATTTTGCCTTCTAGCAATGTAGGGTTCCAGGCTTATCTTGTGCCCACTGTTTCTCTGAAGTGCCTGGTCAGCCTGTGGACACCCAGGTCTGGAGTGCTCTGACTGTGGGTCTCACTGGGAAGAACTGGGGAATATATAACTAACACATGCTTACATCCTGCTTTTTCTAATTCAGATGTGGAGGTTTGAAGTTTCTTTATCTTATTTGTATTGCACTTACACAGAAAATGACTTTGCTTTACATTTTGCATCACACATTTTCAGAATTACAATGAGTATGGATACTAAAATATAAAATACACATATGGATGGCATTAAGATTCTTAGCGTCTTTTTTTTGTTCTGGACTCCTGCTGAAGGTGCGTGTTCCATGTGGTATGACCAGAGCCCTCAAAATTAATCTCCTCTCAGTGGAGCTAGGCTCCTAATTTGATATTCATGAGGATTCATTTGTTTCAATTTATTGTACTTTTCTATTTGTTTTCCTTTATTTTTGATTCAATGTTTTGGAAAACTTCTGTGGCTCAAAATATAAACCTGTAATCAAGCATAGACTCAAGGGTCCTGCTGTGTTTGGTCCCCAGCTACTCAGTCTCCTGGAGGCATTCAGTTTTGGACTTATTCTTCTGGTGTTTTTGTTTTCAATAGGTGAATATCTGTGTTTTATTTTTCCTTCGTTTTCATTCCCCGGGTAGCATGGGTGGGGTACCAAATGTTCCTTTGCCCTTTGCTTTTTCAGTCACTGTTGTGTCCTGCACTGCACTGTACCTTGGCATCATCCCCCCCCCCCTTTTTTTTTGTCCTAATCCCGAGGCTTGAACGCAGGGCCTGGGCACCTCAAGGCTAGCACTTTTACCACTTTCACCACAGCTCTGCTTCTGGCTTAGTGGTGGTTAATTGGAGAGGAGTCTCACAAACTTTCTTGTGCATGTTGGCTTTGAACCATAATCCTCAGATCTCAGCTTCTTGAATAGCTAGGATTACAGGGTAAGCCACTGGCCCCCAGGCTGATTCAGTTGAGTTTTTTCTTTTTTATATACCTGTGTAGTACTCAAATGGATGATGGTCTGTATTTTATTCTCCTAGTTTCCTACTGACAGGCAGTTGGGTCCTCACCAAGATTCTGCTGTATTACAAAATGCAACAGGTAACCTGTGTATGTGGCTCCAAAGTGGAACTACAGGATGAGAGACCACTGGGCATGCCCTTGTCTGCTTCCTGTTACTTTGGCCTGAGACTGAGCAATGAGTAAAGAAAACAGGTGATTTTGGAGACTGAAAATCAGGATGGGCAGCCCTGTTGGTTTGGTGAGAGGGAGGGGCCTACATGGTGAGACCCAGGACCGCACTGGCTCTTTACATAACAGCTCGGTCACTCTGCAGGAGCAGAATCAATCCTTGTGAGGGTATGTTCATGTGGCCTCATTCCTTTACATCAGACCCCACCTCTTAGAGGTTCTACCATGCCAGCACACCATGTTGGGGACCAGCTTTCAGCGTTAGGAACCTTTGGGGACCACGCCCAGGTCGAGTGATGTGGACACACATGGCTGCACAGCCCCTGCCAGGCCAGGCTGCCCTCCATCGCCCCTGGCGCTGAGGAGGTGGCCTGTTTGCTCGCTCTCACTGTGGGCTGTCAGCCTTGGGGTTTTTATAATCTGATAGGCATGAAGTCCGTATCAGTGCCTTTTGGGTGCATGAGTTGAGCATCTTTGTGTTTGTCTTTGTGTGTCTGCAGACTTCTGTCCACACCTTATCCATTGTTTCCACCCGGTGTTAAGTCTGTGTCATCCTCTGATTTCAGGAATTCTGTAGTTATTATGAAGATCCTCTTTGTGCTATAAATTGCCAGTAAGTTTCGCTGCTTGGTTGTTATTTTCCTTTCTTGCAGTGGATGTGGTCTAAGGTGTCAGTCTTTCTTTTATTTCGAGTCTTGATACACAGGCTTTCTCCTGCCCCGTCTCACAGAGACCCAGGCAGAGGTTCTTCCAGGATGGGAGGTCTCAGTTTTTACGTTGTATTTCTGATCGTTTGCTGTCTGTCTGATGGCATGGTGAGAGGTTTGGCTCACGCTCCATCTTTTTTCAGATGCTTGTCTAGTTGACCCGGTGCCATTTATTAAACAGTGGCTCAAGAGCTACCCTTGCCATAGATCAACCTTTTCAAACATGGCTTTAGTCTTGGATTTCCTGCTTTGGTTTATTAGATCAGAGACTGACAAACAGTTTTCAGTAAGGCCTGGACAGTAGACATTTTAGGCTTCCGGGCTGCGTGTGGGTCACTTTTTATATTCTCCTCTCCCCTTCCTTCTCCTCCCTTCCCCAGCCCTGTTTTCCTCTCCTCTCTCTTTCCTCTCATCATTCTTAGCTTAGGGGCTCAGCATGAGGTTCTGCCCCTCCTTGCTCAAGCACTGGTTCAGGTAGAGGTGTTGATTTCCAAAAGCCCAGCCACTGTACAGGCATTTTCTGGGTGCTCCTTATTGTTTGGCTTCTCAGAGAAACTTGCTATGTATTTGTCTAAACTCTGTCAGAGTTACAGTCAGATGTAGGGAGAACTCACAGCTAAGGGGCAGGTGTCCTACAAGAACATAGACACCTTCCGATTAGTTCATTTCTCCTTTTGTGCATTGAATGAGGCGTTTTTGGTATTACCTGGATGGAGTTTTCTTGTTTTATTAATTAAATGTTGCATTGATCTGTGCTAGTGCCTTCCTTCTCTCTGTTTTGAATTCTTTATTGTTATTTGCTCGTTTTTCTGAGTTGCTTAATTCACTTACCTGAATTCTTTTGTTTGTATGGATACACAATAATCTTGGCCCAGAATGGTTTTCTCTTCTTTGTTGTTCCATCTCACAAGCCTATTAACTAGGCAAAGATCACCTAGATGACAGAGGAAGTCTCATTCTCAGAATTGTTTTGCTTAAAAGTTGTTATGACCATAAGCCAGCTACCTGCCACCTACACCCGCTGGCTTCTGGCTCCCGTGGAACTGTTTTCACAGTCTCTGATGTACAGCACGGACAGAATCTACCATCCATAAAGACCTTCATATCAGGACAAGCCACTTCCAATCACTGGTGTTGCACATTAACTAAGATCAGGTTGTGCAAAGAAGTTTCTCCTCTCACTACCAGAGTCTCGCCAGTTGTAAAGCAAAACCCTTGGGTTTGGGTTCTGGTTTAGTCCCCAGAATTAAAAGAAAACCCAAAGTCAGACATGGTAGTGCATGCTTGTAGTCCTACCTACTTGGGAGGCTGATGTGGGAAGATAATTTGAGTCCATGAGTTTGAGACCAGCCTAGATGCCACAGAGACCTTATCTCAAAAAGTCAAACATACACATGAAGTATAAAGAAAATGGGAATTTTCTTCCAGTGAGTGCTTTGTGAATTCATATTAGTTGCATTTTCATTATTGCTACCAATATTTTTTGTCTGGTTAGATTTTTAAATTTTATGTTATTGTAAGGATGATGTACAGAGGGTTACAGTTACGCAGGCAGGACAATGAGTACATTTCTTGTTGAACATTGTTACCCCCTCCCTTGTTTCCTCCCACTTTCCCTCCCCCAAAGACTTGTAAAGTTCATTTCCAACATAGTGTCTTGTGAGTATCGCTGTTGCATTGGTTCACCCTTTGCTCTTTGTCTCACCATTTTGTTATTCTCCTTCCCTTCCCCAAGTCAGATAAACATATATACAAGACACAGGGTACTAGGGATTAAACCCAAGGCCTGGAACTTGCTGGGCAGGACCTTTACCATTGGAGCCACACCCTTAGTACTTTTGGTTTTATTTTGCTTTTTGAGACAGGCTCTGACTACCTTTGCCTAGGCTGGCCTTGAACTCACTACCTTCCCTCTGCCTTTTCTTCCCAAGAATCTGGGATTACAGGCATGAGCCACCACCTCCTGTCTTGTTATTGTTATATTTTAGAAAATATTTTTTGATTGTATTTGTCTCTTAACATAGAAATTTATGATTACTTGTGAATTTATTTCAATTATTTATTAAAAAATAATTTCTTGTTTAGTGCATGTGGGTAAAAAATAACTACTTGTAAAATTTCTACTTTTTGAGTGTATTTACGTTTCCTTTGTGGCTTGATATATGGTATTCATGTTCCAACTGTATCTGGAAAGATGTGTCTTGTATTTTGGGGCGCAGTGCTGGATGCTCGTCTGTGGGTGCCCTGCCTTCTGGGTTAGCGGCTGTGGTCTTGCATGTCCTTCCTTGCCTGTTGTTCCGTCTCGCTGTTTTTCTGCACCTCTGGATGGCTGCTGCTTTTGGTTTATAGGCACTCAAAGCTGTTACAATTCATTCTGAATCGTGGTTGCTGATAGTGTGAAGTGTCTGTCACTCAAGGGAGTTGTACATACCTGCACGGAAAAAAGGTGTTTGTAAACTGTGGAGGTAAAGTGGAGTGTGGTTCTCAGAGGAAAGCACAACCACCCAGACTTGGACTTGGGTGTGGGGTTGGGTAAGGAGCCGAGATGTCGCAGCGGGCCAGGAGATTGTAGAGGAAGGTGCTTTGCCTCCTGGGCCTGCTCCTAGTGCAGATGTGGCTGCAACACCACAGTTTCTGGCCAGGTAGAGCATATGCTGGATACATGTTTGAGCAGGTCTCAGAGAAGGATGCAGTTTCTGCCCCAGGGAGAGATGAGGGCCTGATCTCAGCAGCCTAGCACCACCACACCAGATAGCCATGCCTGCATGTGCCCTCGGTGTCCTTAGCCCCAGGCCTGCCTGTCCCTTCAGAGCCCTCAGCCCTACGCTGCCCGTGTCTGCAAGCGCCCTAGAAGCCTTGCCTCAGAACCCTAATGCCACACCAGCAGGCACTGCGGATGCCCCTTCAGCATTCCCTGTGCATGCCAGGCAAAGCCTCTGCCGAGGGACTGGACTGATGGGAGGGTGTGGCAGCTGATGGTGCACCATGGCGATGATGCTGGGGTATTAGGAGGAGCTGACTGGAAGAGGGGCATCAGATGGCACACACAGGTACAAGGGGCCCCTAGGACTTGGGGTACACTTGCTGTGTAGGAGAGGCCGAGGAGGATGCCCCGTAGAGCTCTGGCGAGGATGGAGGAGGGCTGGTGCTGCTCTTCCTCTGCAGCCCTCCCCTTTCTGCCTGAGCTGCCCTGGCGGCAGGTGGGAGCAGTGCCATTAGTGCAGTGAGACCTGGTGTTGGGGTTCACGGTCAGTTCCAGGGCCCACTGCGCCTCTGAGAAGGTCTCCTGTCTGACTGGTTGCGTCCTGAACTCTAACCAGATGCCACAGGCTCTGAGTCTTCAGAATTGGCCAGCTCGGCTTGGTCTGGACACTTGTGAGATGCCATACTGGAGCACACCTGCCAGTTCCTGGGCCTTGTCCCCATTCCTTCACCATGTAGAAAACGTGCTCCCACTGGGGTCAGAGCCAGGCCAAGTGGCTGGTCCCCATGGTGTTTCCCTTGGACCCCATTCACTCCCCTCCCCCTCCTATCAAGGTCTCCATCCACTGCTCTCTTTCTCCAAAAAGATAACCTGCAGGCCCGGTGTTGCTGGATTGTGTCACAGAAGGGACTCGGGCTCATGGGGTGAGGCTCAGCCCGGCATAGCCATGAGCAAACCTTTGCCCCTCTTCCCCGGAGATGAGGGCTCTGTTCAGGGGAGCTTCATAAATGCTGTCACCATTATTGATAGGAAAGGGAAGGATGCTGTTTTGAATGTGTTTCTCAGCGTTGCTGTTCTCTGCTCTTTAACTAATGGTGATTTCAGTGGCATTTTTGTCAATTGAGAATTTATGATAGTGTCACGTCAGGAAGATGAAGGCAGGGCTGCAGTCCAGGTCGCATCTCTCAGCCTGAGAAGGAGGCATGGCCTCAGAGCCCCCGGGCCCGTGGGGCTGACAGCTTCCATCCTGAATCGGGGCAGGCCAGGGATCCTGAGCTCCCATGTGGCAGGTTCAGTGCTGTCACAGGTTCATCTCTGTGTGTGAGTATATACATGCACCTGTGCATGCATGTGTGTGTGTGCACATGTGTGCAGGCATGCACGGGTGTGACTGTCCCAGTTTTGACAGCAGATGTGGCCTACCTTTTTCCTTAAGTTGCATGTGCCCAGAATAATAAACCGTCTGGTGTGTCTCATCTGGTCGTTGATCTCATCCATCATGGGCTGTTTTACAAAGATGTGCTGGAAACCATAGATCTTATCTGGGGAGCTCATTGTGTGTGCTGGGAAGATGCACAGTCTTCTAAACAGGACTCTTCGTTGTGTTAATTTGGATGTTTTATGATGTATTTGATTAATGTGTTTATTACCTGCTGCCATGATGGGAGCAGAAATTAGTAATCATGACCAGAGCAGAAATCTCTTTAACATGTAAAGATGATAAATGGCTCCAATTATTCTCCACTCATTTGGGCCTCCTTTACACAGGGTCTCCTGGCTTCCAGCTGAGGTACATGGTGGGTCCTGGGTTCCTGAAACCAGGCGAGCAGCACTGGTTCATCCAGTACTTGGCCGGCCAGACCCTCCAGATTGACATCTGGGATGGAGACTCCCTGCTCCTCATCGGGTCTGCTGCTGTCCAGCTGAAGGTAACAGAATGTAGGGTGTGGCTTTTCTGCCTGTAATTCTGGTCACCATCCAGCACTGGTTGTGGTGTGACTTCTTGCTCACTAATTAAAAACTGCCATGTTCTCTGCCCTCCTCCCAAGTCTAAATTCTGCAGTGCCTGGTATTCCTAGGTGAGCCTCCCAGGCTGCTGCCTTCCCCTCCTTTGAAGCTGAGGATGTATGTGTATTCCCTGAGGACAGGTGCCAGGCCTTCCTGCTCACCATGATGACAGGCTGGCTCTTCTGAGTGGCCTAAGATGGACCGGATGGGGTGTGATACTGTTACCCAGTTCCTGTTACCAGTTCATCAGTGTGCTTTCCTATTCCAGTTAGAATCAGAATCCAGCTCTTGCTGATTGTATAGTCCATTGTTTCCGTTTGCTAACACCACAAGCCCATTCTGCCCCTCCCTGGGCTCCTGAAAGCCTCCATGTCCTGAGGGGAACCTCAGAAGCTGAGCCTAAAGTTACCGTCCCAGCTCCTGGGTCTCTTCCACCTGTTACTTGATGTCCTGAGAGCTCTCAAGGTTGGGGGTGCAGGTGGGGAAAAGGCCACCTAGAGACTACAGTTCCTGGGTCTTTTGAGTTTGTCCTTTGCCCCATGTGACCATGTTCCTCTTGGCTTCCATCAGCAGCTGCCCACTGGGCGCAGAGACACAGATCCGCTCTCTCACTGCCTGAGCTCCTGCATAGCCTTTCCTTCACTTGAGGTGCTGGGGGCTTCTCTGGGCTCAGAGAAGGGGATTTCTCCCTCCCTTCCTCCCTTCCTCCCTTCCTTCCTCCCTCCCATAATCCTGGCACCACTGCCCACCTGTGACTCCGTGTCCCTAATCTATGGGATGATGATGATGACCATGCTGGGGGTGGGGGAGGTGGGGACAGTGCCTAGCCATCTGGAGACTGTGGAGACTTGGCAGTGAGGACTCAGCAGGTGGTGGCTGCTGCTCCAGCCTTTCCTGTCCTCCAGGGCCATGGTGGGGACCCTATGGATTGGTCATGCCATTGCTTGTCTGTCTGCTGACCCCGTCATGCTGTCCCTCAGGGTGGAGCCGGGGTGCTGTCTCTGCTTTCTCTCCATCTGAGAATGGTGTGTGGTGCTGAGGGACAGAAAGAGGGTGGGAAGGAGTTTGGGGTGAGGAGGACAGTGAGGGCCCACTGGGACCTTGGTCCAGTAAAGCCCTGTACCCTCTGTATCCACAGCTGGAGACAAACTACCTCATTCTCTTGGGATTGACACCTGAATTTCACTTTTTTTTTTTTTGTTGGGCGTGGGTCTTGAACTCTGAGCCTGGGCGCTGTCCCTCAGCTCTTCAGCTCAAGAGGAGCACTCTACCACTACCACTTGAGCCTCAGTGCCACTTCTGGTTTTCTGTGTGGTTTATTGGAGATAAGAGTCTCATGGACTTTCCTTCCCAGGCTGGCTTTGAACTGCGATCCTCAGATCTCAGCCTCCTGAGTAGCTAAGGATTACAGGCGTGAGCCACTGGTGCCGGCATCTTCTTTTTTTTTTTAAGTAAAAAACTCCTTTTATTTTAAGCTTCAGGTAGAAGATGTGGGAGTTGAGGTAGGAAGTGATTCCTGTGGGCTGGTCCTGAGTGGTTAGAACACCCTGGTAGTCCAACTGAACCCAGGTCCCTGTGCGTGCTGCCTCTGAGCCACACGCAGCCCTGCTGGCCCTGCTGGGTTGATTTATTTTCTGTAAGCAGAGGATTCTTACAGCTTATTTTGTCTCCTACCTGTTGTTGGGCATGGAGATGATTTTTTCCCCCACCCTAACACAGGTGGTTAATTTTGTACCCCTCTTACATTCTTGTGCACCTGGAAGAGCTGCTGCCAATGACTCCTTGGCTTGTGCGCTTGACTTAAGCCTTCACGTGATCCTGCTGTCAGTCATCTGAAAGCCCAAGACTCTGACGCCTGTTCTCTTAGCCGTTGTGTTCCCTAGTGACACATGGCACACCACAGTGTTCCACGCTGAGTGAGGGCTACAGGTGCATAGACTGAACCCACAGCCTGGAGGCTGGCAAGGCGGGGACTTCCCATGTGCCCCACACTCGCCTCTGTTGGCCTTTGTAAACAATCTTCACGATTTTGATAGGAGAGAGGGTACCTTGCTTTATTCACAATTCTTGGCTTCCCAGTGAGGCTGAGTGCTGCCTTTTATCTTTATTAGTTGATCGGAGTTCCTTCTCCTCCTCCTCCCCACAGGGGCTCTCTGTTTTCTAGCGCCCTTGGCTCCTGAACTGTGGGTGTGCAAGCATGTAGTTTGTGCTCAAGCATCACCAGGCTAGCAGGCTTCAAAGTGACTACAATCCCAGGCCCAGCAGGAGCCACAAAAAAAAAGTAAGAAGTACAAAATTTGAGGCCGTCATTTGGCCCCACCCTTGTGTTTATGAAGTTCTAGGTCAGAGTGGGAGAGTGTCTTCCCAAGGCCACACAATGGAGAAAGTCCAAGCTTGGAGGTCGCATTGCTGTTCTCCAGGATGCCTCGTAAGCTTTCAGGCTCCAGTGGAGGACCGGCTGGAACGTGATGAGCAGAGAAGCTGTGGTCCAGAAAGTATTGCCGATCCTGTCCTAAGTTGGGGACTTGTGCTGACACTCTTCTGGGTTAGGGACTTGAGCTCAGTCTCTTCCCAGCCAACATCAGCCTGGCCCGGAGAGCCTCACGAGCTGCCTCAGCCAGTCTTCCAGGGGTCCCTTTGCTCACTGTGGTTCTGCGCTGGCCTCTATGAGTCACACCAAAGCTGCCAGTCCCTGGCCTCAAGGGTTCTCTGTCAGGCTTGGCCCAGCTTGCCTCCCAGCAGCTCTGACCACAGCTTCATCTTCCTTAGGAAGGTGAAGGTCTGGTTCAGACCTCTGTTCTGGAGTACTTGTGCCCTGCTGTGGGCATGGCCAAGGCCCCTCTGGTTCTTCTGCCTCCTTTCTGGTCCTCCTTCCTGTGGAGGCTGCTCTTCGAAGGAGGTGCCAGGCCTTCCATGCGTCCTATGCATTCACAGTGCCTTATGGTGTTTGCTCAGTGGTTGAGTCAGGGTGGACTTTATTAAAGGCCCAATGTTAATGTCATGTGTTTTTAAGAAGTTGGCTTCTGCCTCTCTCCTAGGGCTCCCTGACCTTCACATTCTTCCTCCTTCTCCTCCTCCTCCTCTTCCTCTTCCTCGCCTCCACGCCCCACACGTAAGTTGGGGCCTACTTCACCTACAGGCCACCTGGAGGCGATCCTGGTGAGACCCCTGTTTCTGAGCTCTGTCTTCCCTCTGCAGCACCTCCTCCGTCAAGGGCGGCCAGCCGTGCAGGTCTCGCACGAACTTGAGGTTGTGGCGACTGAGTATGAACAGGAGATGATGGTGGTGAGTGGCGACGTGGCCGGGTTCGGCACTGTCAAGCCCATTGGTGTCCACACGGTGGTGAAGGGCCGGCTGCACTTGACCTTGGCCAATGTGGGTAAGAGTCTCGGCAACCCTGACTGGTTTTGTGCCATTTGTCCAGCGACTGCTTGACTGCCCAGCTAGAGCAGGAGGGGCGCCAGCGCCATGGGCCTGGCACACTTAGTGGGAAATGGGCGAGATTTGGAGCAGCATGGTTTCAAGGGCTGAGCTCAGCTGCTGAGCCTGCCCTGGCATTGGGCATTTGGTCTTGATTTCTAGTCAGGATTGGAGCACCTTGTCTATCACAGGCTTGCCTGTGCTCTGTTTCTTGATGCTATCCTGGGTCATCTCTGTGACTGTCCTCAGATAAAGTGACTGGGTTCCAGAAAGAATTTTCCTTTGGAGCTCCAGACTAAATGACTGCCCCATCACAGAGATTAGCGAGACGTTTCCGAACACCATCAGCTAAGGAATAGGCGAGTGAGAAGCGCATTCTCTTGAACACCATGATGGTTGTATCAAGAGTCACTCATCCTACCTGGGCCAAGGGGTGCAGGTGTTGGGCCTAAGCCAGGCTGAGGTGATTCTGTCTGGGGCTTCCACTAGGGGCTGTAATAGGGAAGGGAGCCTGGAGGAAAGGGAATTGAGGCTCAAAGCCAGATGCCTGCCCACCCCCATCCCAGAGAGCCAGTGTGGGGTTCTGCAGGGCTAGTGATAAAACCCACTGGCCCCTTCTTGTGGTGCTCCAAAAGGGGTGGGTTCTGGGAAAAATAACACAAAATCAGCTATTGGGGTTTCTGGAGCAGAGCCTAGGAGGATGGGACTCAGGTCTCTGTTGTTTTATTAGGGAATTTTCCGTTCTTCAAAATCCAGCTTGATTTTAAATCCTGGAGCCCCATGGGCCACATCCACTGTGTTCCGACAGCACAGGGGTTGGCAGAGCCCGCGGTGGCGGCGGAGGAGCAAGCACACAGCTCATTAAGTCTGGCTGGAGGTTTCTGCCTGCTTGTTTACAAATGTAGGATCCGAGGCAGGCTGGAAAATAGACAATATGGAAACAGCAAAACTCAATTAGGTTCTGGAGAAATAAACGAGCCGCATGTGAGAAGCAGGCATGATTCAAGAGCTCAAGTGACCAGGAGAGTTGTGAGAGGCACCCTGCTTCCAGGGCCAGGGCCGTGGCGGTTATTTTTATATTTAATTCACCAGCCCACAACCCTGCAGTGACTCTAGGTTTTAAAGTCTTATCTTCAGAAGAAAGATGGGCTCCATTATATGTTATCTCCAATTGTCATTTTCATACTTTGCCTGCAAGAGGGAGATAAGCCCGTGGGAAGGAGGGTCTGAGATGCCAGAGTGAGTCCCTTGCACGCGTGTGTGTGTCTGGGAGGGCGAGGGCCAGACGGGCCCCATGGGTGCATGCTGCTGCACTTGGGTTTCTTAGACAGATTTTGTATTTTTTGACAAGAAATGTTACACCCTTTCTTTTGTTACAAAACTGGTTGCTCTGCATGGTGCAGCAGGCGTGTGTCAGAGAAGTGGATGAAGCTGTGGGAAGCACCTGAGTGACAGCCACAGGACAGAGCCTCCACCCCGGTCCCCGTGCCTGGCTGGCTGCATTCACAGGCCGGGTGCTATAGACTCTGGCTGCGTGGGTGTCTGCCAGCTCGGCCCACAGCTCCTGGAATCTTGGTCTTGCAGGTGGCCTCTCCCTAGCCCGTTTACTTTCCCAGCAGCCGTCTTTCCCATTAACAGGAGTTGCCCATTGTAGTTGTGGCCTAGATCAGCAGGGGGTCAGCTGGAGCCAAGTTGTCACTCCGCAGCCTCTTGGGGGGCATTCCAGGAGGGCACCTGCCCGGGCAGATGCTCCTTGTTCAGCAGCTTATGGCAGCAGATCACGTCTTCAAGGACAGCCAGTGGTGATGGACTCAGACAAATGAGCAAGTGGGTGGGGCTGATGTCCAGTGGTGGAGTACTTTGCTCCCTAGAGGGGGCTGCGTGGGAGCTCTGCCTACGTGGGGGAATTTCCATCCCTGGGGTAAATGTGTGGGTGGCTCGCTGTCACCTTCTGTCTCACCACATAAAGTTCAGACAGCAGGCTGGGTCCTGGGTGCCTGCTTGCTTCCCCAACTTCCAGCAAACCAGTGCTCTATGAAGACAGGGAGAGGCCGTGGTAGCGAGGCCCAGCAGCCTCCTTCATCTATGAGGTGACCTCGTGCCTGCGAGTCTCACCGCTGCGGCTGCTGTCATCCTCTGTCCTCTTCCAAGCCCAAGCTCCACGAAGGTGCTCACCCACCCTGGGAGCTGCGCGACTGACCTTCACCTGGAGGCAACGTCTGTGGGCTCTATAGTGCAGTGCTCACTTCTGTCAGATGGGGGGGGGTCCAGATGCCCTCGCCTGTGATTCAGGGACCTGGCCATGAGATCACGATGGTCGAGAAGGCTCCAGAAGGTTCTGGGCTTCTCTCAGTGTGAGGCTGACCCCCTGCAGTGGTGCTGTGTGCCCGCTGGGGGACTGGGAGCCTCTGCGAGCACGTCCTTGGGACACCACAGCTCAGCCTCTGCTCCCTATTGAATTCATGTGTGAAGAAACAAGGCAGATGCACCTGGACCAGTTCTGAGTTTGAAGGCAGGAAACAGAGGCACTTTGGGGGCCCAGGTGCTATCCTAGCCTGTGCCTGTCAGTGCCCAGAGCCCTGGTGCTGGGCCCTGGAGGAAGAACTCTTTCCCCGCCTGCCTTCCCCTCCTCCTGGCAGCTGCTGGAGGACACTGGCTGTTCGTACTTGTGGTCTTGCCCGTGTGTCTCTTGTGGTGGGAGCCTGTGGGGAGCAGGGCGCTGCCTGGGTGCCTGTCATATCTTAGGGCCTGGCTCTTCCTGGACCTCAGATGAGCTTAGCCACAAGATTTATCTCATGAACTACTGTCCAGGTTCAAAAATGGATCTGATGGAGATGAGTATATTTTCTGGTGAGGACTTTGCAGGCCCCTGCCTAAGGCCATGCAGTTTGGCATGAAGGAGGTTCAGAAGACCCAGGAAGAGGGCAGGAGCAGAAGTGGACAGGGTCAGGTGGCTGGGGTCCAGAACACCTGGGAAGAGGGCTGGGGCAGAGGTGGGCAGGGACAGGTGGCTGTTGAGAAGGGATAGGTTCTCAGCAGAGGGCAGTGGGGAGCAGCTCTTGTCCAGATGCTTGTTCTCAGGGGGAAGCCCAGGGGCTATGGAGAGAACACTAAGTGTCCTGGGCTCTGATGGTGGCAGTGTAGCTGTGGACACGTGGGAAAAGTCGACGCTGCATTTCTGTGCTATGCAGCACAGACCTGCTGAGCAGGCCATGACCAAAGCTGCTGTGCTGCCATGTGCCACGGATCCGCAGCAGGGTAAAGAAAAAGGGATGTGGGCAGTTACAGAACACTGGCTAGGGAGCCTTTCCCCTAGAAAAGGAACATCCCAGTTGGGACGGGACAGCCTTGCCATCCGACCCTTAGTGACAACAGAGGACTTGGCTGTGAGAGTGGATGTCTCAGGCTGCACGCAGGTGTCTAGACCCCGTGTTTAATTACCCGGTGAGCTTTGGAAGCCAGGCAGCTTGGGAAAGCAGCCGAGCTCCAGCACCCTCCAGAGCTTCGGTTCCCGCTCTAGCCTCAGGAGAGGCAGGGAGGCAGCCGGGAGCCAGACTCCCAGTAACCACCCTGAAGGCCATTTAAAAGTGATTGGAAGCTGGGTGCTGGTGGCTCAGGCCTGTAATCCTAGTTGCTCAGGAGGCTGAGATCTAAGGATCTCTGTTCAAAGCCAGCCCAGGCAGACAAATCCAAGAAATTTTTATCTTCCATTAACCAACAAAAAGCTAGAAGTGGAGATGTCGCTTAAATGGTAGAGAATCAACATTGGCGAAATAGGCAAGCAAGAATGAGAGGACCTAAATTCAAGCCCCAGAACTTGGCACATAAAAAAAGTAAGAAAAAGTCAGGTATTGGTGGCTCACACCTGTAATACTAGCTACTCAGGAGGGTAAGATAGGATTGCAGTTTGAAGCTAGCCTAGGCAGGAGAGCCTACTACTAGAAAGTCAGAGTGAGGCTGTAGTTCAAGTACTAAAGTACCAGCCTGAGTGAAAAAGCTAAGGGAAAGCGCCCAGGCCCTCGATCAAGCCCTAGTACTGGCACCTCCTCACCCCAAAAAGTGGTTAGGATGTAAAGGAAAAGGCCATGGCCTGTTTGCGCACTAAGGTGACCTCTTCTAGACTTTGGCTGGAGTTGGCTTCAGTCTCCATGTGCTGCTACAATTGGGGCATCTGCCTTGCTGTCCTCATTGGGACCTTTTCACTGACCAGTCTTCTTGCAGGGCTGGCTTGCTATGGCCCTGATGCACTAGGGACCTGCTGGACTCTGTGGAAGAATGGGGCCCTCCTGCCCACCTCAGGAAAGCGGTGTCTGCCAGGGAGCTGAGTGACTTGCCATTAGGACAACCTCGGTCTGATGGAGGATGAGAATGTGGCTAGCCCTAGGCTGTGGGCAGAGGAACGTGTGTGTGGCAGGCTCAAAACCACCGTGTTGGGCTGGGGCAGTGCATGGCATGGGCATTCCCTTGCCACCCGGGTGGCCTATTTTGGAATGTAAGTTCCTTTAGCTGCACCCTGCCGCATCCCAAGTGAAAGTCAGCTCTGTGTGGAATGTGTGGGTCCTGTCTCCATGGGAGAATGCCCTCTGGCCTCGCTGGCTCTTGGTCAGCTTGCAGGTTCTCTGGGTGCTACTTCCGTTCAGCTGGAGGTCATTATGGCTGGGCGTATATCCTGTGGGCACATCTGTGCTGCCCACAGAGGCCTCTGTCAGGTACGTGCATCAGCGGGGACTCTTGTGCCGTGGCTCCTTGCTTGCACACGAGAAGGCCTGTCTTTGGCCAGGGTATTACCTAAAGCTCAGGTTACCCATCAGACATGTCACATGGGGGGGCCCAGAGACCCAGAAGTAAACTATGTAGGCACACTGAGCCCCTTGTGTGAGTTTAGAGACCTAAGCTCCTGCCTGATATTATTACAGGACACACTCAGAGCAGAGGCCGGTGCTGGGGCCAGTGGTGGGCCTGAGGGTGCACGTGACGCCCCAGGACTGGAGCTGCTTATGGGGAGGGCGGCTGGGTCCGTCAGCAACTCCATGGTCTCTGTCTCATGGATGTCCCCTTCACTCAGGTCACGTGGATGAACCAAGAGTGAGTGGTCCCAGCGTGCTCCCACCAACCAGGTCTCGGCTCATCACGAATGTGGGGACCAGCCACTTCTCTGGGGGCAGCCTCCTCACGCCTGCAGGCCCAAGACGTGAGTTGAAACTGTGAGATCCAGGAGGTGGGTGGTGGGTAATATGGGGTTGGGTAGACGAGGCTGAAGCCTTCCTATGTGGTGTCATTGGTGGCCCGCTGTGGCTGGGTAGATGGTGGCTCTGGCACTGTGTTGCAAGCTGCTTGGACAGGGAGGAGGAAGTGAGGGAAAAGCGGGGCAAACAAACTTGCTCATTGGTTTCCTAACCAACTTCAGAGCGTGGGAAGGACAGACTTGGGTTTGGGGAGAGACACAGTGTTTGGTAAAAGTGCTTTTCTTAGCAGGAAAATGCTAAAGTTTGACATTCCTCTTAAACCCAAAGGTGCCACAGATCAGATTATAAGCTTTTTTTTTTTTAAATAGAAATGAAAGTAGGGCTTTTTTTCTTTCCTTTTTCTTCTCTACTTCTGGTACTAGAGTTTACATTCAGGACCTAGTGTTCTTGCTCAACTTTCTTGTTTCTGGCTGGTGCTCTACCACTTGATCCATGCTTCTACTTCTGGCTCTTCAGTGTTTCATGGAGGTAAGAGCCTCAGGATTTGTCTGCCAACGCAGGCACTGAACCATGATCCTCAGCTCTCAGCCCCCTGAGTAGCTTAGGATTACAAGCGTAAACCACCACACCAGCACCCGGCACACAATTTTTGAAGCACTTTCTGCCTTTCAGCTAGTATCAGTCTGGAGCTTCAGTGCTGGTCTCCAGGAGGCAGGGGAGCAGCTTGTGCAGAGGTGCTGAGGCCCCATGCTGCCCTCCAGCCGCCTGTGCAGCTGCCTAGCTCCAGCTCCGGCTCCGGCTCCGGCTCTGGCTCCTGGACTAAGCCACAGCAGCTCAGACCTGATTCTGGGCTGAGCTTTTTTACGCCTGTGTCTGACTAACCAAAATCCTCTTCTTAAGTGGTCATTTTAGACATTTTAAAACCAATTTGAGCCATCTAAAAGCCAATTAAACGGCTTTAAGATGGATTGGCGACAAGATACCTGCAATAGCAAGTTTTCTGTGATGGGTGAGGCATGGATGGGGGGGGGCGCCCACCCCCGTGAGCTTGTCAGCAAGTCCGTGGACATCTGCTGACAGGAAGCAGAAACCCAGGCCCCGGGAACCTGCGCTGCCATTGGTTTCCTTGGGAAACTTCTGGTGGTGCCTGTGAAGTGAGGGGGACCCAGGTTCTCTCAGTGCCCTGCCTAGGCCAGATGACAGTCAGGGAGCCTCATGTGACAACCGTGACAGGGTCTTGTCACTGAGTAGAGTACCATTTGATCCCATCCTGGGAAGGAGGGACAGGTGGCAGCTGTCCCTGTGCCCGTGGCCAGTTCAGCTACTTCTTCCCTGCTGAGTGACTCCTGCTGCATCCAGGCGTGAGTAGAGCCACTCTCACAGGAGACAGGCCCCTCTGGTGCTCAGGCTGCCCAGGGGCAGCTGGGGGCAGTGTTGAGCCAAGCCTGTCTGAGCCATCTTTGTGTCTGACAGTCAGATAGGCCTCCAGCCCAGGAGCACAACCCCACAGAGACCTTGCACCTAGTTCAATTCCAGGTTCACGATGTCTACACACAGGGTGGATTTGGGGGTCCAAGGTGGTGATGCACCCGGGGGGTTCCCAGCCTGCAGGGGTTCCATGCAGTTTCCTCTGAGCTGAGGACACAGTCCTTGGGGAGGGCGTTCACTGCCCCTTTAAATCCCAAGCACTTGTGCTTTCCCTGGAAACTGATGTGTGGCCAGGTGTACAGAAGGACTGGAATCAGAATGCCTTTGATTTGAGAATTTCCTTCCACCCTAGCGCCCCCTTTTGGGGGAAGGGCTCTGCAGGGGCCAGGCTGCGAGGTTGCTGTCTCTGTCAGTGTCTTGGAACCCTGATGATTGGGTCTATAAAAGCCAGGCGGGGGAGCTCCATGGCTGGACGGAGTATTTCTGGGGGTTGGTCACTGAGTGTACTAGCCAACAGAGGCCACACATCCACTCTGACTCATCCCATGACCTTTCAGCAGGAAAAAAAGTGGTCCAAGCGCAGAAGCTGGCTGACGTGGACAGCGAGCTGGCCGCCATGCTGCTGACCCACGTGCGGGCTGGCCAGAGGTCCCCAGGCGCAGGCTGTGAGGCCGACGCCGTGCGCAGGCGCAAGCTGGAGAGGATGAGGTCTGTGCGCCTGCAGGAGTCCAGAGGGGAGCCCGTGGGCCGCAAGGCAAGCTTGCTGGTAAGGGTCATCACGCGTGACGCCAGCCCCAGTCTCCCCACGCCCTCCCAGATCCTGGTTTCAGGAGAACAGGAGCCACTCCCTCCACCTAGGCCAGAAGGGTGCACACCGTGTGGATTGCGGGGTTCTGTGTGGTTTACACATGGCCCGGCGTGGCCAGTGACAGCTCCACTGTGCAGAGAGGCTGTGGTGTCTTCATGCTCAGGGAGGCCTTCAAGGGGAGGTTGGTGCCCTGCCCCTCCTAGGGGCTGAGAGGCCTGTGTCTCCCTGCAGTGTGGAAAGGCCAGAGCATTGGACACTGGAAAGCTGGTGTCAGTCATTTAAGGCAGCATCGCATTTCTCCTCCGCTGAGGTGAAGTAGGAGGCTCTGTGGGCAGTGGCCCCCTTGGCTCTCTTGGCCCCTCCGCCTGGGGAGGCTCTCAACCCGGCTGAGTGGGTCCGGGAGCAGCTGCAGCCTGGGCTTCCTGGCACAGAGGCCACATCTTCTGGGCCCTCGCTCGTGTGAAGCCGCCTCATTTCTTAATGTAAGGCCCATGAGAAAACAAGTGTGGCAGTCCACTGAGTGTCAGGGCCCTCAGCCTCCCTGAGGCTTGGTTGTCAGGTCTTGGACCCCATAAGGCCGAGTCAGGACTGGGGCAAACCTCCCCCTCTGTGGACTGTAGTCGCTGTCAGGCTCTTGACACCAGCCTGGGGATCTGCCACGTCCCCAGGCTGTCTTGAGGCCATTTTTTTTCTTTTACTTGAAACTACTGCTTTAGTGTTCCCCACTGCGTGCTGTGCTGAAGGGTCCTCTCAGGATCATGCGGGGCAGACCCCCGAGGGGGCAGAGAAAGGATGGGTGCTCTGTGGACCTCCTCGAGGAGGGGGAAGCATCCCTTATTTTCTATTCCAATACCCTGGAGTGTGGGTAGGCCATTCCTTCCAAATCATGTACTCAAAGAAGTGGGGAGAGTGTTTCCAGAAGACACTTGGAATACGGGGCACATGACCGAGCAAAGCACACCTCTCGGGGAGGCGCGCACCCCTGGCCTGCCCCCAGGTGGGCCTTGGTGTTTGCAGGCCCAGCAGAAGGTGCGAGCACAGCACTCGAGGGACCTGCAGGTCATTGACGCCTACCGGGAGCGCACCAAGGCCGAGAGCATCACCAGCGTGCTGAGCCTGGCCATCACCACACGGCACACGCTCTATGCCACCCTGGGCACTGCTGAGTTCTTCGAGTTCGCCCTTAAGAACCCTCATAACACGCAGCACACGGTGACCATCGAGATCGACAACCCTGAACTCAGGTGGGCGCGGCTCCGCCCTGGCCCACTTCCGGGCAGGCAGAGCCACATTTTCAGCCCCGTCGACTCCCGTCCCTTCCTCTGAGGCGGTTCTGGGGGGATGTGACTTCTGCACACGGCGAGGGTCCTCACTGCCGGCCCCCTCCTCTCTAGCATCATCGTGGACAGTCAGGAGTGGAGGTACTTCAAAGATGCCAGTGGCCTGCACACACCGCTGGAGGAGGACATGTTCCGGCTGCGCGCCGGCCTGGCTCCCCAACTCTACCTGCGCCCCCGGGAGACCGCCCACATCCCCTTCAAGTACCAGAGCTGCTTTGCAGGCCCGCCAGCCCCGGCACAGGTGCGTGCAGGCACAGGAGGGACTTCTCTTGCTAGCCAGTGGAAGGAGAGGAGCACTTTCCTGTCTTCTCAGCAGCTTGTGCTCATCCCCCACCCCCATTTCTGCAGCAGGGGATGGGGGGGGGGATCAGTCACAAATGTCTGCCCACCCTGTGTGTCACTCCATGGGTGTTCTGCACCTGCGCTGTGCACAGCACCTCAGGTGTTCCTCCCCCACCTGGTGGGTATCACAGAGGCTATTCTGGCCACTCTTTTTGTGACCCCAGGGAGAGGTCTCTGGTTGGGGGAGCGTGCTCTTCTCCCTGCAGTGTGTGCTCCTTCACTCAGCCAGCCTGAAGTGTTGGGAACACGAAAGTTATGTGCATGTACACGGGATGGGGAGCGGCTCTGGCAGATCTTCCGTAGGATGAAAACTGTCACGAGGGGCTTCAGGCCTCACCGAGGCTCCCAGGCAATCCACACTGGCTCTGGGTGGGCTGTGGGGTAGCTGAGACCCAGCCTTGGCTTTAGGCAGAGATGGAGATGGTCAGGCAGAGGCAGGGATGGCTCCAGGTCTACCGTTCAGTGAGCTCACAGCAGCCTTGCTTCTTGCCTGGTGGGTGGCACTGGTCAGTGGTGGCCACAACCCCCAGGCTGGCGTGAGAGTCAGTGGGTGAGGCTTTGGCATTGCTAGCTCTTGGGGTCTGAGTGCTGGTCACCACTGACTCTACCTCCTGACCTGTACAAATCTCTCATAGGCTGAACTGACCGCTAAGAAGGGCACAGACACTGGGTCACCAGGGAAGTGGAGAGCCATGCCCACTAAACACGCCAAGGTAAAGGGAAGAAGACACCCGGTGGTGCCATGGCCTTGGAGCCGTGTGTGTCATTAGCTTGAGGGTTGCCCCTGCCCCCTCTCTGCCTTCTTAGAAGGAAGGGGTTGACCGAGGCAGTGGGGCAAAGACCTTCAAGCACCCTTCCTTCCTGTTCCAGAAGGGTAGTAGCTGCCCTGCCAGGCACTGGCATAGTCCACGTGTGGTGCCCAGTGTGGACATGACACCTGGCAGCTTGTCACTGTGAGCCCTGGCTCTGGTGCAAAGCCCGTGGTCTCAGTGACTTCTGCCCTGCCCCTGCCCCTGAGCATCTCTGGAGCCTGGCACACAGCATTCTCTAGTTGAGTATGTATGCCTGTGTATACACAAACATGCACATGCACGTGCGTGCGTGCGTGCGTGTGTGTGTGTGCGTGCGTGTGCAGGCTGGAGACAGGGAGAAAGAGGTACTTCCTAGAAGGGGTAGTGAGTGGCAGCTGTAGTTTTGGGAGGCTTTAGTCAGCTAAGAGAAGGCCAAACAAGATTTCAGATGTCTTAGACAAAAATGTTTTAGGCCAATCAAAAAAAAAAAAGATTTCAGATGTCTTCACTTTAAAATCATCTTTATATCAAAATGAGGATCTCTTCATACGGATTTGAGGTTTTAGGGAAAATTCCAGACATTTTATTAGCTTACCCATAGTTCCTTACTGTCAGCCTGTGGGCTTATGGCCCACTTCAGTTATACTGTCCGGTGGAAAATGGTAAAGTTTCAGCTCTGTCATTCTTTCTGTGATTCATCTGTAAACAGGAGCTCTTCCTGTCAGCTCTTTGGCTATCCTGAAATATACTTTTGTCCTTTAAGTCAGCAGAAATGGTAGAGTCATTCCCTTTGCCAGGTTTCAAAACAGTGAGTTATGGACAACCAGTCTCCAAAGACAGGGTTTTTTTGTTTTGTTTGTTTTTTGTTTTGTTTTCTTTTTTGACACCTCATTATGAACTGGATTTTGTATCTAGATTTCTCATTCCATGGCAGGCATTATTCTTTAGCTGCCTAAACTGCCTTGTCTCTGGCCATTGCCATCTTTCTCAAGTTAACTTCTGTGTCTTTAATTTAAAATAACAATTTCAAGCTTAGAGAAAAATTACAAGAAAATGCAAAAAAATTCTTCGAAGTTGTTTGCCCCCATTTCCTAATGGCGAGCATTTCCCCACGTGCCTTACCATTTTCTCTACATATTGGCCTCTTTGGTTCCTTCCTTCCTTCCTTCCTTCCTTCCATCCTTCCTTCCGTCCTTCCTTCCGTCCTTCCCTTGCGCTCTTCCTTTTCCTTTTTTCTTCTTTCTTCCCTTTTCTTTCTCTCTTCCTTTTCCTTGTTCTTCCTCCTTCTCTCCTCCCTCCCTTCTTTGCTCCTTCCCCTCCTTCTTTCCTATACTGGAACTCAGGACCTGGGCACTGTCCTTGATCTTTTTCACTCAAGGCTAATGTTCTTACCACTTGAGCCACAGTTCCACTTTTAGCCTTTTTGGTAGTTCATTGGAGATGATAAACATCTTACAGACTTTCCTGTTTGGGCTGGCTTTGAACTGCAATCTTCAGATCTCAGCCTCCTGGATCGCTAGGATTAGATGTATGCGCTGTTGGTGCCTGGCTTATGTATACATATTTTTTCTGAACAGTTTGAGAGTAAATTATTGACCTAATGCCGCTGAACACTGAAACCCAAAGGATCTGTCCAGAGAATGTGCACCCCAAGGACCAGGGCTGTCAGAAATGATCTTGAGATTTGCTTTCCACAGATGTCCCTGTGCTCAGTCTGTCCACATCAGACTCCCAGAAGCCTGGCCAATCCTGGTTGGCTTGCTACCACTTTGGCTCACCTTGTCTTTGGCCGTGGTTGGTGGTCCTATGCGGTACCCTCAGGCTGCTGGTCGCACTTGCCTCTGACTAGATGCACCCTGTGCGGTGTTTGCTTGTCCTCAGATGCACGCCGCTTCTGGAGCAGGACACACGGCATGGCTTGTCTTCAACATCACATGGTGTTGACTTGTCTCCTTCCTGGGGAGGTGATTGGCGGTGGCTCACTGGAGTGCTTTCTGCACACATCCAGGCATGGGGAGGGGAGCTCTGACTGCCTGTCTAGCCCTTAAGGACTGTGCCTTGTTGAAAAGAAGTAGCAGCGACATGTCCACATGTGAGCTCTGTGCTGGGGCCTGGCTTGGTGGCCCCCTGGGGGTGTGCACATGCCTTCCCAGCAGTGTCCTGACCGCCTTTTGGGAGTGGAGATGTGGTCCCTGGACGGCCTGAGCTGCGGTGAGCCGAGTGCGTGTCCTGACGCCCCGCACTGCTGCTCACAGGTGGTGTTCCGTGCGAGCGGCGGCAAGCCCATCGCTGTGCTCTGTCTGACTGTGGAGCCCCAGCCCCATGTCGTGGACCAGGTCTTCCGCTTCTACCACCCGGAGCTGACCTTCCTGAAGAAGGCCATCCGCCTGCCGCCGCGGCACACGCTGCTAGGCAGGTCCCCCCATGTCCCCCGCGTCCCCATGGTGCTGCCACACCGCCATGTGCAGCCTCGTAAGCTAGCATCCCTGTCTTTATCCTGCCTCCCCTGAGGTGGCGGTGAATATTCTGTGGCCAGTTCTACTCTTAATTCATGGCTCTGGCTGCCTGGGTCTGTTCCTGTGCTGGGGACATCTGCTTCCTCCTGATGGCTCAGGAGTGGCCCTTAGAGCCAAGTGATGTCCTTTGGGCCTGATGGCACCACTCCCTGTGGGTGACTTGCCCTCATCCATTGATGAGGGCCAGCGCTGGGAGCCCCATGCACATGTGCCTTGCTGGGCTGAGGCCACAGTGCCATGTTTCCTGTTCCAGGTGCTCCCGTGGGGATGTTTGGTGAGGAACCCCCGGTGCATGTTCGCTGCAGCGACCCCAATGTCATCTGTGAGGCCCAGAACCTGGTATGTCACGTTGACCTGACTGCAGACAGACCCTTCCAACCCGTCTGCTGCTGGTGGTGGTGTCACTGCCCTTCCCATCCCCCTTTCCCCTCCCTCTCCTCCCTTCTCACTCTCCTCCGTGCCCACCCCACCACCGCCCTGTGCCTGGCTGTTGCAGCCTTCCCATTTCAAGGTTCAGGCTAAGTGGTTTCTTCTCAGGGTGCTGAGGGGCTATTCTGACATCCTTAGAGGAGCTTCGTGAATGAGTTTTCACTTTTTCTGCTAGCTTATCAGTTCCTTAATCATCTGAATTTAAATTTTAGGCAAGGGCGTAAAGCAAAGTGAATAAAGGGAATGGTAATTAAGACACTTATTAATTACCATTGTGCAAAGGATAACGGCAATAATTGTATTATGACTGGTTAGGAAACGAGATAAAATCTGTAGAATATAATTATTGAAATCAATATAAAATCAAGAAGCTAATGATTTTCTCTTGCAGTGAGCAAAACTGACTGCTGACGAGCACAGAAAACGAATGCGTTCAGTGGGGGGCGGGTCTGCTCCACCTCCCTGGCCTCACACAGCTGCAGGGCCGGGTGGGGAGATGGTGGAGAGTGTGGGTGGCCTTGCAGTGGTATGACCCACACCTGTTCTGTAGGGCCCCAGAGAGCCACAGGACGTATTTCTGAAGGTGGCCAGTGGACCGAGCCCAGAGATCAAAGACTTCTTTGTCCTCATTTATGCGTAAGCACACAGACCTCTGTGTAGGGAAGGTGGGGAGGAGAGGAGCGCTGGGGCAGCCTGAGCTCCCACCGTCTCAGGAGACTGGTGACTGCCCTGTGACGTGAGACTCAGACGGGCGGTGGGGACTCTGGGCCGGCATCTCCCTGGTAAGGGCTGTTCTGCTCTGGGCAGGCTCTCTCCCTCACCAAGCTCTGGGCTGAACTTGGAAGGGCTCTAGCTTGCTCCTCCACAGAATCTGGGGAGTGGCCACCATCCTCTTTATTCCTGAAGACAATGATGAAACCTCCTTTTTTTTTTTTATCCAGTGTATTAGCCTTCTTGTTGCTATGAAAGAGGCTAGACACAAACAACTTAGAAGAAGGAAGGATTTAATTTGGCTCTCAGTTTTAGGGGTTTTGGTCCATCACGGCCAGTTCTTGTTTCTGGGCTTGTCCTAGTAGTGGAAAGGGGAGGCTGTTCAGTAACATGGTGGATAGGAAGGGACCAGGGTAAGCTGTGGCTTCCGGGATATGCCCCAGTGATCTGTGGTGTCCAACAGGCCCCGCCTTCTACATTTCTCTGCCTCCCAATAATGCCATCATGAGTCTATCAAAGGACCAATCCATTGACAAGGTTAAGCCCCCAGGAGCTGATCATTTGTAGAAATACACCTAGTTTCCTAGGCAACCTTCAGTCAATAAAATAATAATCTTGATAAGCAAGATCAGTTGTCATGCAGTTAAGCAACCAATTCCCTTTGCTGTTTTCTCATAGTCCCATCTTGCAGCCCTTTGGGTCCTATTGAAACTGGAGCAGGTTGGAGGCTTCCCTGCAGGACCTCTGTGGGTGAGGGTGGGGGAAGCTGTATGCAGGGCTGATGTCAGTGCGTGTCTGGGTGCTTCTTTGTAACCATCTGCGGATGTCCATCAGCCTGGCCCCGCGTGACCACAGTCTCACTGTGTGCCCACGCTCTGAGGCTCCGCTCATCGTGGTGGCACCATGGGGGCAGAGACAGGTGCTACATAGCCTAAGAGCTTCCTGGGGTGGGAAGATGGCAGTCGGGGGGTCAGGTGAGCCGGCCACAGCCTGTCCTTGGCTCCCATCCTCTGCAGCTTGTCCTGGGCGGCCTTCCAGCTCCCTGCCCTCTGGCAGCTGTGGCTGGCTGGCACTGCTGTCCTCAGGACGTGTGCAGACGACTCCTGTCTCTGCAGGGATCCCTGGCTGGCTGTGCCGGTGCAGACCTGGCAGGTCTGCCTTCACTCTCTGCAGCGAGTGGACGTCGCCTGTGTCACGGGCCAGCTCACACGCCTGTCCCTTGTCCTTCGTGGGATGCAGACAGTTAGGAAAGTGAGAGCCTTCACTTCGCACCCCCAGGAACTTAAGGTAGGGCCCTGGGGACCTCAGAGTCTTTGCTGTTCTGAGCCTGCTCCTGTGCATGCAGCCTGCGTTGCATGGGGGTGACAGGTGGCAGCATGGCTCTTATCCATTGAGCTCTCCTGCCCGTGGTCACGTGAGAGGGGAGGGGGCAATGGTGGATCTGGCTCTGGACTGATGGAGAGGGCTGAGGTTTCCAGTCTGGGCAGCCCCAGGTGAGTGAAGTCAGACCCCAACCCCTTGTTGACCTTGGGATTTCCGGAGCCAGCCAGGCAGGGGACCCAGGAAAGTCCATGTCTGTGTCCTGCCCTCCGTTCTTGCAGACAGACCCTGCTGGAGTCTTTGTGCTGCCGCCTTATGGGGTGCAGGACCTGCACGTTGGTGTCAGGCCGCAGAGAGCTGGCAGTCGCTTCATGCACCTCAACCTGGTCGACGTGGATTACCACCAGCTGGTAGCCTCCTGGCTGGTGTGCCTCTCCTGCCGCCAGCCGCTCATCTCCAAGGTCAGTTGGAGGGTCACATGCAGGCTGAGGGGCAGAGGCACTGCGGGACCTCTGCTGTGACACACACACACACACACACGGCAGGGAGACACCAGTGCTACTGACTGTGTGACTTGGGCTGCCCAGATGCAGGGCTCTGTGGAATACTGGGCAGGAAAGTGCTGGTCTGGCCTAACTTCCTGGGGGTCCAGTGTCTGGGGCCATGCTATACAGCTGGGTTCAAGAAGCACCTGCAGAGGATCCCAGGGCTGTGCCCCGCAGGGGCCCCAGAGTCTCCCTGTCCTCCCTAGGCCTTTGAGATCATGATGGCAGCGGGCAAAGGGAAGGGTGCCAATAAGCGCATCACCTACACCAATCCCTACTCCTCTGGGAGGACCTACCACCTGCACAGCAGCCGCCCGGACCTGCTCCAGTTCAAGGAGGACTCCTTCCAGGTAGCGTTGTGCACACAGGGGCTGGGCTGCACTTCTTCACCCTGGGGATGCTTAGGGGCCCCCGCAGGGCTAGTACCGTGTTCAGCAGAGGTCCTGCGTCCCCGCTGGCTCCCTTGCCTTCTGAGAGGTCCTGTGGGTTCCTCGCAGAACCTCGGCCTCTATATCGCGAGGACCCCCGAGGACTCCCATGGCATGTGCTCACCTCATCTCTCATGGTGTCGCCGGGCCTCAGCGTGGCCCGAGTGCCAAGGCCTGCCTCATGTTTCTAGAAGCTGCTAGAATGGAGGTGGCAGGCCAGGGGTAGGCACTGGGATCCCAATGCTCCTTTCCAGGTGGGAGGAGGAGAGACCTACACCATTGGCCTGCGGTTTGCGCCGAGTGAAAACCTGGGGCAGGAGGAGATTCTAATTTACATCAACGACCAGGAGGACAAAAATGAAGAGACCTTTTGTGTCAAGGTCATCTACCAGTGAGGGCGTGGCCAGAGGCAGCTGGTGCCGGTTGCTAGTGTTCTCCCGTACACCCTCCTGGCCATTGCAGCCTCGGCCCCAGGATCCAGTGGAGGGGTTTGGTTGAGGTCATTTTGTAACTCAGCATCTAGGTAAGCTGCTGCCGCTGCCAACCCGGCTTGACCAAGTTCCCAGGTGTGACGTGAGCACCAGGGCCCTGGCTCTGCCGCCATGCATCCTGGCCACGTGGGCGCCTCGCTCTGCAGCTGCGCACTCCCGCCATGCGGGTGCCTCACTCTGCAGCCGTGCAGCCCCGCCATGTGTGCACCATGCACACGGACACACCTCGCTCTGCAGCCGCGCATCACAGCCACGCGGGCACCACAGATGCGGTGCCTTGTTCTGCAGCCACACGTTCTGGCCAGGCGGGCGCCACACTCTGCAGCCGCACATCCTGGCCATGTGGGCGCCTCACTCTGCGGCCGTGCATCCCGGCCATGTGGGCACCACACACGTGATGCCTTGTTCTGCACCCACACATCTGACCAGGCGGGCACCACGCTCTGAAGCTGGACACCCCAGCCCCGCAGATGCCTCGCTCTGCAGCCATGCATCCCGGCCACGTGGGCGCCTCGCTCTGCAGCTGTGCATCCCGGCCGCGCATCCTAGCCACACGGGTGCCTCGCTCTGTAGCCACGCATCCCAGCCATGCGGGCACCATGGCTCAGAGGTTGCCACCATCTGGAACTTTGTTCTGATCTTCACTTAGCAACATGTATTTTATAAATCAGCCTAAATGATAAGATTATGTTTTTCTCATTGGATTTTGTACGAATATACTATTTATTTGCCATGCAGAGTTTTATGTGGTGTTATTTCGCACTTTCTAAGTGATTCCCTGAAATGGTTCATTTCTGAGCATTTGCCTGTGTTTTTCCTGTGGATGGAAATTGGCTGAGCCTGCCTGAGCCCCGTGCCCTGTGGAGGCTCCTCAGGCCTGGTGTTGGTTTGGGGGGCTGTGGCCCTAGGGCAGCGAGCGGTTGGTGTGGTCAGAGCAGGAGGGCTCAGCCCCCTTCCTGAGTGGAGGTGCTGGCTGCCTGGGCGGTGGCCCCACTGCAGCCATGTCCCTGTGGCCAGGAAAGTTCCTTGATCACAGAAGCGCAGTTGCAGCTGCCTCTGCAGATCTGTGGTGCAGATGTGGTCTGCATCTTCAGAGAGAAGTTTTGCACATGCTGTGTTATCTCCTGAAGGCTAGAGCCAAAGCTTTCTCTCATGTGCTCAGTGAGGGAGCCGGGAGTGGGAGGCCGTGAGCGGATTCTGTGCTGCTCTGTGCATAGGCCAGGCCGGACTCTGCCTTTCCTTCCACCCTGCTCTGGGGTTGCACAGGCAGGCCTAGCAGCCAGCCCTGCTCAGGGAGAGGTTCCTGGAGCCCACAGAAGCCAGATGCCAATACCCTGTGGCCTGGAGGAGCAACGCAGCCCTCTGCATGGGCATGACGAAGCCTTGGGGTCCACGGGGTCCATCCACAGCTGCGATTTGAGCGGTCATTACGGATGTGGGCTTGTGCTTCTAAAGCTGTGTCTCCTCCTGGAGGAGACATCCCTGCTGGCTTTGGGAGGCCAGGGCTCTCCTTCCTTAGTCACCTGCTCAGATGCCTGGACTTGCCCAGGGAGGCCCTCACAGCCCCGGAGGTAAGGAGGGCCGGCAGTGGTGGACATTCTCCCATCTCTGAGTCTAGAGTGGGCAGGATGGGCACTTAACCTTGGGAACCGCCAAGATCAACAGCAGATCAACAGCAGGGAGGCCAAGGCCCCAGGGATGGCCACGATGGCCTGTTCCTGTCTATTCCATGTCTCTTTCACCCAGTTGCTGAATTTCCCATGAGTGTGTGGTGTGCGGCAGAGGCACCGTGGCCACCTGGCCTGTGGTCTGCTGTCACGAAGCACCCTGCAGTCTGCAAGCCCGTGAAAAGCAGCGCAAGCCGCGCTGACTGCAGCCTGCATCCTAACCATGCTGTGCTTAGGCTGCGATTGTGAAGGCCTTGTGTGCCATTTGTCACTACTTGTCCTGGGGAGGGTGGCAGGGCCCTGCTCAGTCCTCCCGGGGCTGGAAGCCTTAGTGAGATGTATGGCTCAGGGTGATGGCGTGGGAAAGGAGACGCCTTCTGCTGTGGGCCCCTGGGTTCTCACACACCAAGCCAGGCATCGGTGACTCAGGCCTGTCATCCTAGCTACTCAGGAGGCTGATATCCAAGGATCACGGTTTGAAGCCAGCCTAGGCAGGAAAGTCTATGAGACTTGTATCTTTAATTAACCAGCAACAAAACAGCAAAACACTGGAAGTGGAGCTGTGGCTCAAGTGGTTGAACACTGGCCTTGAGTGAAAAAGCTAATGACCTCGGATGCTTGCTTCCTGGACTTGACTCCAGAGCCCCCACTCCCCACCCTGGGACACCGGCACACAGGAATGCCCAACAAGCTGCAGCCAAGTTGCCCACACAGCTTCTGCCTACTGAAAGATGCCATGACCCCAAGGCCTTGTGGCCGCCCTCTGCCCTTGCGCTTCTTCCCCTTTCCAAATGCTGCTTAGCTGGGGACACCATCTGTCCTGCAGAGGCGTTTCCTTCCTGGCCAGGTGAGTTCATTCTAGAATATTCCGTAGAGGTGGCTCCCCCTGGAGGCTTTGGTCCATAGGAAGCATCTCTGGGGTTCCTAGTGCTGGTCTGTGGGGACGGCTGAGATGAGTGGCATCTGGTGCCCTCTCTCTGGGGATCAGCACATGCCTTGCAGGCTGAAGGGCCCCGGGAGGCCTGATGGCCCACAAGGGGAAAGGGCTAGCCTTCGGCAAGAGAAACACCAGCGGAAGCCATCGGTGGAAGCCACACTCCCACCCGTCTCACTCCCATCTTTATCCTGCCTGTCCTGTCCTAGTGGGCAGATGGCTCTTCCTCCAGGACCTGGCCTGGCCAGTAGGACCCAAACCAAGACATGTGAGCACAGGGCATTCTTTGGGGCAGCACCACACTGCAGAATGTTGGGGTAGGGTGTAAAGAGGGGACATCTGGCTTAGAAAGTGGGAGAGTGGCCAGGAACAGGACAGAGGGCCGGGCTGGGGAGGCAAGAGGCTCCTGGGCTGGGCTGGGGGCTGGCATGGGTAAGTTCATGTCTGGAACTCCCTTGGCCACAGTCCCTGGCCTCTCCATCAGAATGGAGTCCAGTCCTCAAGGAGGGGATGGTGCCAGGGTCACCTGCCCACCCTGGACCAGGTGGAGCTCCTCCTGCAGAGGCTGTGGCCGCATGCTGGGCGTGGTGCCCTGCTCAGGCTGCTGTGCCCGCTTCTGGCTGGGCCTCTGCTGGGCATGGCACTGGGTGTTCCTTTGCCCCTTTTCGTGAATAGGTAGGTATCTGTCTGGTGGGACGGACTGTAGGGCTGGCAGGAACCCTAGGTCAAGTCCCCCCATTCTCTGGGTTGCAGAGGGCCGCTCTTCATTTTTTTCTGAACCCAATGTGTACCATTGCCAGCCACAGATGGGTTGGAATTTCTGGGGAGCTTGTGAGCCTGGATGATTTACGTGATAAAACCAGGCTGCACCTTGCTGGATAGCAGATAAGCTGGAGGCTCAGTCCCCCACCCCGCAAAGCCTTGTTTCTCTGGAGCCTGTGCTATTGTTTTGATCAAGGGCATTTCTAGCAGTTATTTTATTTCTTCCTTCCCACTCTATTTAACTAAAAGGAGTCACATGAAAGCCAGAGAAGAGCTTTACCCTCTCATGCTCGATAGTGATTTAAGGCTGTTTGTCTCTATTTGGAAAAAAAGAAATTAAGATGCTTTAAAAATTGTTGCTTCAGGCTCCAAGAAGCTAGAGACACAGCCAGTGGATTCCCTAACTCCCCCTTCCTCTGGTGACTTGATCCCATGGGAACAAGCATGGCATGGGTCGCAGTGTAGCAGGGCTGGATCAGAGCAGAGGCCTGGCCTGCCCTGGGGTGGTTGAAGAGATGGGTGGGCAGATACAGGACGCCCCACCTTCCTCCCTATGAAGGGGCCAGAGCCCCACCTCCGGCTGAAACCTTGTTAGGGGAGACCTGTCACGGGTTCCCCCATCTTCCTGATTCCCAGGCCCGAAGCAAAGCCATGTTGGAACCTAACCTTGGAGGCCTCACAGAACCCGGGCTCCCCAATTTGGAACAGCTACTGAGTTTCCACTGAAGCTGTCACTGGAAGCCTTCCAAGGAGAAGGGGTGGCTGAGGAGCAGTCCCTGCTGTCCTGGGGGGACAGTGTCACCTTCAAGCTCAAGTCCATACCCTGAACTTGGGGAGTAAGGCTTTTGCAGGCATCCCAAGTGCGGGCTCACTTTGGAGCAGGGCAGTCCTGCTATCATGGAGTATCCTTACTGGGGACAGGGACGCAGAGCAAACTGCTATGTGACAAAGGCATTGGCAGCTGCAAGCTAAGGATGACTGTGGCCACCCAGAGAGCTAGGATGGAGGCCAGGGTGGCCTCTTCCTCAGCCAAGCAGGAGCTAGCCCCACACCCTTGACCTTGGACTTCTGGTGTCCAGAACTGCGGGAAACTTAAGTTTCTTTTTTTTTGGTGGGGGGGGGTCCGGTCGTGGGGCCTGAACTCTGGGCCTGGGCGCTGTCCCTCAGCTCTTCAGCTTAAGGCTAGTGCTCTACCACTTGAGCCACAGTGCCACTTCCGCCTTTTTTCTTTTTGCTTATGTGGTGCTGAGGAACCGAACCCAGGGCCTCAGGCATGCAAGGCAAGCGCTCTACCACTGAGCCACCTTCCCAGCCCTGAAATTTAAGTTTCTTTAAGCCACCTATGGCTTCAAGCAGCGTCTGGATCCATTGCTGCTCTGCCCGAAGGCCTACTGGAGCATTGTGCCCCTGACGAGAGCTCTTGTGAGTCTGGGGCAGTGATACCCCAGGAAGCCACCACCACCCTGCCATGTGTCGCCATGTGTCACCCGAGTCCTGAGAGGGTACTGCCCGATACACCGGCCTGCCTGCCTGCATGTTTTGCTCACATGTTGATTTCCTTGTTGAAAATGACGGGTTATTAACTGTTTACACCTTACGAAATACACTAAGCTTGAACTCATTCCACCTCACTTTCCCAGCTTGTACCGGACCCCTGGCCTTGGCGCCCCTGGCCCAGCGGCGGCGTGATCTTGGCCTGCCCTTGACTTCCTCAACCTGAGAGACAGCGGAAGAGCATCAACCCCTCCCGGGTGAGAGCATGTGTTGCAAGGCTGCAGCGGAGTAAGTACTTTCTCAGGAAGTGCTGGAGGCTAATGGCTCCTGCTTCCAGCCTCCTGATGCTCAGCCATGGGTGCCTAGCCCTTCTGTCCTGCCATCCAGCTGCCCCTGGGCCCGTGGAGGTAGGAGTTCCTACCTCCTTGAGCCCACACACCTTCTTCCTGGGGGCTCAAGTTTGGTTTCTCCCATCCTTGTACACGGCACCTGGGATCCAGGGTCCTGCCTCAGGAAGCCACAGCCAGGCCTGAGGCTGGACCCCATTTGTCATGTTTCAGTCTCCCCCCAAGGGCCTCGCTCTGCCTCCCAGCACTCCAGGGAGGGCTCAGAGCATGTGGCCTGGAGGAGGAACACATTCGGTGAGGCCTAGGGGCAGGTAATGCTCCAGAGCAAGATC